AAAAATACCATTCCCTCTTTCTGTCTCTATGGTTTTGACAGTGATGAATCAAGCTATGCTTCCCCAAGAGCAGCCTGTTTTACTTATATATGAGGTATAAGTAAAAAAAAAATTACTTATACCTCATATAAGTAGATTCATACAATATTTGTCTTTGTGTGACTGCTTTATTTTAGGTAGCACCAAGTCCTCAAGGTTCATCCATGTTATAGCATGTGTCATAATTTCCTTCCTTTTAAAGGTTGAATAACATTTCATTGTTACTGTAGATTGCATTTTCTTTATCCATTCATCCACTGATGGACACTTGGGTTGCTTCCACATTTTAGCTATAGTAAATAATGCTGCTATGAACATGGGTGTACAAATAACACTGAGAGACCCTGTTTTTAATTCTCGATATATACCCAGATGTGGAATTGCTGGATCTTATGGTAATTCCATTTTTTGCTTTTTGAGGAATTGCCACACAGTGTTCTACAGTGGCTGTACCATTTTATATTCCCATCAGCAGTGCACAAGAGTTTATCCATCCTCTTCCACTCTTGGTTTTTTTGTTTTTGTAATAGTAGATATCCTACTTGGGTAGGATGAGGTAGCATCTTATTATAGTTTTGATTTGTATTTCCCTAATGATTAGTGATATTAAACATCTTTCATGTGCTGATTGGCTATTTTATATGTTCTTTGGAGAAATATATTTTCAAGTGCTTTGCCCATTTTAATTCAGCTTGCTTTTTTTTGTTGTTGAATATTATATGTTCTCTATATATTCTGGATATTAATCCTTATGAGATATATAATTTACAAATATTTTCTCCAATCTATGGACTGCCTTTTTACTCTGTGGATAGTGTCTTTTGATGCACAAAGTTTAAAAATTTTCATGAAGTCCAATTGGTCTATTTTTTCTTGTATTGTCTATGTCTGTAGTGTCATATCCAAGAAATCATTGTCAAATCTAATGTCATAAGGCTTTTCTCCAATGTTTTCTTCTAAGAGTTATATTGTTTTGGTTCTTACATTTAGGTCCTTGATCTATTTAAAGTTAATGTTTGTATATGGTGTTAAGTAAGGGTCCAACTTCATTCCTTTGCAGGTGGTTGTCCAGTTTTCCAGCACTACTTATTGAAAAGACTGTATTTCCCCATTGAATGGTCTGGGCACCCTTGTAAAATCATTTGATCATATATGCAAGAGTTTACTTCTGAGCTCTCTATTCTATTCCTTTGGTTTATATATTGGTCTCTATACCAATACCACACTGTAGCTTTGTAGTTAGTTTTAAAATCAGAAACTGTGAGTCCTCCAGTTTTATTCTTTTTTCAAGACTGCTTTGGCTACTCAGAGGTCCCTTGAGATTCCATGTGAATTTTAGGATGAGTTTTTCTATTTCTGAAAAAAAACATAATTGGGGTTTGAATAGCAATTGCAATAAAACTGTAGACCACTCTAGGTGGTACTGACATTTTAACAATATGAAGTCTTCCAATCCATGAATGTAGAACATGTTTCCATTTACTTATGTCTCTTTTCATTTCTTCCAGCAACAATTTATAGTTTGCGTTATACAAGTTTTTCACCTCCTTGGTTAAGTTAATTCTTAAGTATTTTATTATTTTTGCTGCAATTATAAATGAAATTGTTTTTCTAGTTTCCTTTTCAGATTATTATCCTATACAATAAAGAGCTAATATGCTAATTAGACCAAACAGCAGAACAACTGTCCAGATGGTTGCTGTCTGGATGACCTTCAGGATGTAGCCAGGGCTGCGAGGCTGGCCGAGGCTGTGAGGGCCAGCTGAGGCAGCCGGGGCTGTAAGGGCCGGCTGGGGCTGCAAGCGCCAAGCCGCTTGCCCAAATTTCATGCATGGGGCCTCTGGTTCATATATGAAAATGCAACTGATTTCTGTGTGTTGACTTTATCCTGCTACTTTTCTGATTTTTTTTTTTTTTTTTTTTTAGTTCTAACAGGTTTTTTGATGGGATCTCTAGGGTTTTTACATATAAGGTAATATCATCTGCAAACAGATAATTTTATTTCTTCCTTTCCAATTTGGATGCCTTTTATTCCCTTTCTTGTCTTATTGCTCTGGCTAGAATTTCCAGTACTATGTTGACTAGAGGTGGTTAAAGCAGACATCCTTGCCTTGTTCCCAGTCTTAGAGGAAAAGCTTTCAGTCTTTTACCATTAAGTATGTTTGCTGTCAGTTTGTCATATATTATTTTTATTATGTGGAGGTGGTTTCCTTCTAGTTTGAGTGTTGTTTTTTAACATGAAAGGGTGTTTAATTTTGTCAAATGGCTTTTCTGCATCAATTGAGATGATAATGTGGGGGTTTTCCCCGTCATTCTGTTAATGTGGTGTATTACATAGATTTTTTTTTTTTGTAAGTTAACCATCCTTTGAGTCATGGTATATAATCCTTTAAATATGCTGCTGAATTCTATTTGCTAGTATTTTGTTGAGAACTTTTGCATCAATGTTTTTTGGAATATAGGTCTGCAGTTATTTTTTTCCTGTAGTGTCTTTGGTTCTGGTATCAGGATAATGAGGCCTTATAGAATAAGTTGGGAAGTGTTCCCTCTTCAAATTTTTGGAAAAGTTTGAAAAAGATTGGCATTAGTTTTGCTTTAAATGACTGAACTACTGGAGCCATCAGGTCCAGGGCTTTTCTTTGTTGGGAGTTTTTTTGATTACTGATTCAATCTCCAGACTATGCTTATTCAAATGTTCTATTTATCCATGATTTGGTCTTGGTAGGTTTTGTGCTTCTAGAAATCTTTCCATTTTATGTGGGTTATCCAATTTATTGGTGTCCAACTGTATATAGTACTCCCTTGTAATCTTTTTTATTTCTATAGAATTAGTAAATTCCACTTACTTTAGTAATCTGGGTCATCTCTTTTTTCTTAGTTGATCTAGCTAAAGGTTTATCAAATGTGTCCATATTTTCAAATAATCACCTTCTAGTTTCATTGATTTTCTTTGTTTTTTTTTCCTATTCTCTATTTCATTTATCTCTGCTCTAATGCTCTAATCTTTATTATTTCCTTCCTTCTACAGTTGTAAAGTTAGATTGTTTAGATCTTTTCTTTCTTTTAATCCTCATCCTAAAAAATATTTTTTATTGATATGAGAGAGAGAGAGATGATGGGGGGAGGGGAGAGAGAGAGAGGCATTGACGTGAGAGAGACATATCAATTGGTTGCCTCCCGCTCATGCCCCAACTGGGGCCAGGGATCAAGCCTGCAACCAAGGTAGGTGCCCTTGACTGGGAATTGAACCCTTGATCCTTTGATTCATGGGCTGACGCTCAAATCACTGAGAAAAACTGGCCAGGGATGTGGCAGTCTTTTAAATCATGTAAAAAATGCAGTTACAAGCCATTGTTATAATACTGCTAGCTTTTAAACTGCCCAAGCTTTTACTTTCATTGAGATCTTTATTTCTCCACATGATTTCGAGGTACTGTCCAGTGTACTTTCATTTCATCTTACAGGATTCCCTTGAGCATTTCTTGCAGGGTTAATCTAGTAATCATACACTCTCTCATGTTTGCTTATCTGGGAATGTTTTAATATCTCACTTTGAAGGACAGTTTTGCTGGATATAAATTCTTAAAAAAAGTCTCTTTTGTTTTTTAAAATTAAATCTTTATTGTTGAAAAGTATTACATATGTCCCATTTTTCACCTTATGACTATGACTCTTTCTAGCCACACCACCACCGCCCATGCTTTCACCACACTATTGTCTGTGTCCGTGGGTAATGCATATATGCATATCAGTTCTTTTTTTAAAAATATATTTTATTTATTTTTTACAGAGAGGGAGGGAGAAGGATAGAGAGTCAGAAACATCGATGAGAGAGAAACATCAATCAGCCATCTCCTGCACACTCCCCCACTGGGGATGTGCCCGCAACCAAGGCACATGCCCTTGACTGGAATCGAACCTTGGACCCTTGAGTCCGCAGGCTGACGCTCTATCCACTGAGCCAAACCGGTCAGGGCATGCATATAAGTTCTTTGGTTAATCTCTTCCTTCCTCCCTCCCCCTTCCCTCTGAAATACATCAGTTTGCATGCTTCAATGTCACTGGTTCTATTTTGCTCATCAGTTAATTTTGTTCATTAGATTCCACATATAAGTGAGATCATGTGATACTTGTCTTTATCTGTCTGGCTTATTTTACTTAGCATAATACTCTCCGGGTTCCTCCATGCTGTCTCAAAGGGTATGAGATCCTTCTTTTTAACTGCTGCATAACATTCCATGGCATAAATGTACCACAGCTTTTCTATCCACTCATCTACTGATGGGCACTTGTTTCAAGATCTTAGCTATTGTACATTGTGCTGCTATGAACATAGATGTGCACATCTTCTTTTTGATTAGTGTTTCAGACTTCTTAGAATATATTCCTAGAAGTGGGATCACTGAGCCAAATGGCAGTTCCATTTTTAACTTTTTGAGAAAATTCCACAGTTACTCACAGTGGTTATATCAATCTGAATTCCCACCAACAGTGTACTAAGTAGGGTTCCTTTTCCTCCACATCCTCGCCAGCATTTGTTGTTTGTTGATTTATTGATGGTAGCCATTCTGGCAGGTATGAGGTGGTACCTCATTATTGTTTTAATTTGCATCTCTCTGATGATTAGTGACTCTGAGCATTTTTTTCATATGTTTCTTGGCCATTTGTATGTACTCGTTGGAGAAGTGTCTATTCAGGTCTTCTGCCCATTTTTAAAATGGACTGTTTGTCTTCCTTTTGTAGAGTTATATGAGTAATTATATATTTTGTAAGTTAATCATTTACCAAAAGTATCATTGTCAAATATATTCTCCCATACAGTGAGTTCCCTTTTCATTTTGATGCTGGTTGCCTTTGCTGTGAAGAAGCTTTTTAGTTTAATGTAGTGCCATTTGTTTAGTTTTTCGTTTTGTTTCTCTTGCTGTAGGCAACGTATCTGTAAAAATTCTGCTACATGAGATGTCAGATACTTTGCAGCCTACATTTTCTTCTAGGATTTTTATGGTTTCATGACTTACATTTTAAGTCTTTTATCCACTTTTAGTTTATCCTTATGTATGGTAGAAGTTGGTGATATAGTTTCATATTTTTGCATGTACTTGTCCAATTTTCCCAATACCATTCATTGAAGTGACTGTATACACCTTTGTATGCTTTTTCCTCCATTGTCAAACATTAATTAAACATAATGGCTTGGGTCAATTTCTGGGTTCTCTGTTCTGTTCCATTGATCTATGTGCCTGTTCTTGTGTTACTACCAGGCTGTTTTGATTACAGTGGCTTTGTATTATAACTTTATATTCAGTATTGTGATCCCTTCAACTTTGTTCTTCTTTCTCAAGATTGCTGGTTATTTAGAATCTTTTTTGGTTCTATATAAGTTTTTGGAATGTTTGTTCTAGATTTTTAAAATATGCCATTGGTATTTTAACAGGGATTGCATTGAACCTATACATTGCTTTAGGCAGTATGGCCATTTTAATGATGTTAACTCTACCAATCCATGAACATGGTATATTCTTCCACTTGTTTATATCTTCTCCTATGGATATAAAATTCTTTTTTTGTTTAATTTTTTTTATTAAGTTATTACATATGTGTCCTTATCCCCATGTTACTCCCTATCCCCCTCACTCATGCCCTCATGCCCCTGTTGTCTGTGTCCATTGGTTAGGCCCGTAGTCAGCAAACTGCAGCTCGCGCGCCACATGCGACT